TTTAAAAAACACTAATTAACCGCACTAATTGAGGGATTCCTGTATTCTACTATTTCAAAAACTTTAAGTTATGTAAGAACTTGCACTACAACAACATTAAGCTTCACAGTAACTTAGATTTAATTCAAGTTTAATGTGTGTTACACTTCTGATATATCACATTAATTTACCTTTGTGCGTGGAGTTGGACTCCATCGCCCAATTCCTTTGGTGGTTGTTACTATAATGTTTGCAGTCTGGTTGATTGCCTGTTGAATTTCTTCAAGTTTTGGATGAATTGTAATATGAGGAATACACAAACTGACTTGGATCTTGAACAAAGCACATGTACTGCTTTTTTTTTTAGATGAGGATTTACTCTCAGGTGGAGCTAGTAAAAGCACTGAAGGAGAATCTGGAATACCTGCAAAATCAAGTGTTGTTTTTATAAAATAAGAAAAGTAATGAATTAAGTATTTTACTAATTCTAAAATACTATGAAGTATATGTAAATACTTCTAATCATTCACAAAAGTTTCAAAATAATTCTACAGTCATATATTAGTAATTATACAATATCTTTACTCACTCATTCATAATCAGTGGCTATATTTTTCCCATCTACTTGTAATTTTTAACTAATTTGAGCCACCTATTTACATACAACATAATTTCTATTTAGATACAATGTAATTCTGGTCACCAAAGTGTAATCTTAGAATAATATTAATAACCTACTGGTAGTCTCTAAAATATTTTACTGATCTACTTGTGATATCTGAATAATTCTACACATATCCATTAGTATAATGTGCATGATTATATCGTCAACTGCAGCCTGTGGAAGGGTTTACTCATTCCTGATAACTTCCAGACAATTTCACATAACCATGGTCAGGTAGTCAACATATAATTTAATCCATACATGGTAATCTATCGATAATTTTGCATTCATTGTTAGTCTTAGCATAAATTCATTCATCAATAGGTAATGCTTAAATAATTTGGCATACATGTTGATAGCTGATAATAGTCTTCAAGTAAATTTAGTCATTAAATGATTGTCACTGGACACTTATATTCACTAAACTGCAGTCTTTGGGTAATTTCACACATCCACTAGTAGTTTTCAGGCAACTTAATCATGCATTGGTACTCTCTAAATTGATTTATTTACATACAGATATCTTCCTATATAACTTTACTCAATCACTAGCAATTTACAGATAACTATACTCAAATACTGGTTGTTTCTAAGTAATTTTATTCAACACACCTTTTACAATTTTGTAGTTGTACTTAGTTCATATTCAAATATAAAAATTATTATGAAAACAGGCAAATTTTCTAAAACATTACATACGTGCATTTAGCATACAAAGTTATTTCTTACTTACCTGTTTGTGTATTGCCACTAATGCTGTGCCGTAAAATTTCCAGATTCTTTCTTACTGCTTTTGTAACAGCATCTATAAAACTTTGACTGTAAAATGTAAGCAGTTCAATAGCCGCATTTCCAATTATCTCTTTTGTTTCTTCCTGGTTTATCTCCTCACTTGCATAAGAAGTAGATTCATTCTCTTTATGATTAACAGTTGTTCCACCAGTTTCAGAATAATCAGTTTTCATTGAGTCTACTATTTGAATTGCTACAAAAAAGAAAGAAGAAAAAATGTGTTAATTATCCATTATTTCAGGAATCTTTTTAACTTTCTCAAGTCTGGCAAAAGTTTAAAATTTTTAGAAATGTATTCAAAATTCATCACTCTTATTATATTCCTTTCTTCTAGGTACATTTCTTACAGACCTAAGAAGGAGGCAATCAGTTGAAACATTTTATAGAAGTGTTCATTAAATTAATAAAACTGTCCATGTGAAATTTTTATTTCTAAACTGAAATCATATTATTATATTAAAATATACATCCTTCTCAATTTAATAATACACACATTTATAGTAAACTATATATTGAGCAGCTGGTGATCCATATAATTCACAAAATATTATAAAATTTTATATTTTGAAAGCTGAAAGAAGAACTAATTTACTAAATATATATATTTGCCTGAAATTTTTAAATCTGAGTATAATTCATGTCCAACTGTTAAGATATTGTTTCATATTCCTTGTGTTCAAAGTGAATACCATTATTATACTCCATTATTCAGAGTATACATAAACTATGATGATTCACATGAATCTTTAAATATATTCCATATGAATTTAACACTTTTCTTGATTCATGCTGATTATTATTATACATAAATCTTATGACAAAATGATCGATACAATAACCACACTGTCATTAAAGAATAATTTATAATGCACAACTTATTTTTTACCTCCATTAGAGTCCACCATCAGATCTTTTAACATGAGATGCAACAGTTCATTAGCAGCATCTTCAGCTGAAAGGTTCTTACTCTGGATGATAGCTGTATTAGTTGCACAAAGATCCTGTTTGTATTTAAAATTATGTGTTTCACTTTAACTTGATCTTTAAGAACTTGCCAAGGTACAATCATAAAAGTGGAAAAATATACATGTAATTATCTTACAATTCACAGGAATAACTGTTATAGTTTCCTGAATGAGTCATCTCATGTAACAAATAAGTTAGAATTTTTCAATTTTAATAATTTACAAAAAAAGAAATGCCTTCTAAAGTTTAATATTTATTTTATTTGCACTCAGCAAAAGAGAGTAAGCCATTTTTGTACTATTACATATCCCTATAACATGAAATTACTTATAGCAACAACAAACAGGTACAATCCACATGAAACTAACTGGCAGATATAAAGGATGAGAGGTGATGTGTCAAGTGCAAGAAAATTTCAAAGCTATAGAAGGGTGTGGATTAGCAGGCAAGTAAAGGGTATAGGGCTTCCAGTTTGGACTACTACCAAGAATAATGTAGCCACTACAGGTGAACAAGATTGGGCTAACAACAATGGAAAAGACTGAAACTTGTGTGAGCCAATATATAAGAAAGTGGCTTAATGTACCTCGGTTATTTGTTACAAATGGGTTGTATGCAAGATCATTTAAGCTTGTTCTCTGATTGAGGAATTCAAAGTTGCTAAGGTAAGGTTAGGCATGATGATGGCAGTGTCAAATAATGTTGAGGTGAGAGGACACCATCTGGAGGTGTTAACAGGTAGGAAATAGAAGGTTTTAGATACAGCTGAGAATGCAGTCAGTAGGTTGAGGTTTAAGGAGATTCTGGGAGCAATCCAACAAGATTGGAAAGGATTAAGGTGGAGGCCTTCTAAGTGGTATTCAGAGCAAGATGGCAAGGGAAGGAAGGAGATGGTGTGTAAAGAGGTAAGAGAGATGGAAGAGGAGTGAAGAGTAGCTCAGGTAGCACAACAGTTTCAGCAGGATGAGTGATTGAAATGGAAAGACAGTGAGTAGTGAAAGATATCATGAAATATGATGTGGAGTATGGAATCAGCACTAAGTAAAATTCTGTTTGGTTCAGTATATGATCAGTTAACAACAAATGCTAACCTGAAAAGATGGGATGTGGCTGAGACAAACTGCTGTCATGCTGTTGGTACATTAAAGCATGTATTATTTTGTTGTCCCATGGCACTCCAAATATATAGGTGGTGGCATAATCAAGTTTTAGCTGTGTTGGGAAGAATAATGAAGGAAAGATATGAGAAAATCAACAGTAGGGAGAGAAAAGCCAAAGTAGTCAGGTTTATTGGCTTCATTTAAAAGTGTGGTAAGACTAGGAAAACACCAGAGGAATTATTTGGTGTTTTAAAAGAGGCAAGAGATTGGGAGGTCCGTGTAGATCTAGGCAGGGGTCTCACTCTTCTGTAAGAGATTGCTGTCACAAGACTATGGTCAGACATAGCTGACTATGGCCATACATAGCTGTGTGGGCACAAAGTGCTAAGACGGTATTGATATCAGAACTAACAGTGTCAGGGGAATATAATATAGAGTGGGCTTATGAGCATAAGAGGTATGAAGAGTTGAGACAGGAAGTAGAGGCGAAGAGTTGGAAGTGTGGGATATTTCCAGTAGAAGTTGGTTGCATAGGTTTCATCGCTGGGTCATGTCTACACCTTTTAGACAGAATTGGACTGGCAGATAAAGCAAGAACTGACACGATCAAGGTGCTGCAGAGGCAGGCTCTGCATTGATATAGAACCAGTCCAAGCATCATTATTAGGCTTCCTCACAGTGCCCAACTCCATCCATGTGACTTTAGTTGCTAGGCTGCTGTGGACCGTCATATTGATTTGGCCCCCAATATGACTATGATCCGTGGTACTAACTGATGGCAGAAGGGGTTGTGCTGTGGCTTGTTCACAGTAGGACAGATCTATATCCCTATAACATGACATTACTTATAGCAGCAACTATATGAAACAGGTGTGAGATTATACTACTTTTTTCAACTCAAACCATCAATGATTTTCTTAAAGCTATAATAAAAGATAAAAGCCTGCAGTTCATAAAATTTATATATACATATATATTCCATCAATTTCACAACACAATAGTTCTTTGATCTTTACTGCATAAACCTTCAGAGAAGTCACTGCACTGAAAACTAGGTTTTCTTGTTTTCCCCTTTCATACATTTGCTTTATTTAGCTGAGCATGTGTTTATATCTGACTTATTACTAGTTAGTAATATTGCATTTTTTATTTCTTTTATTATACATTTTTTGTATATGTAGTTTTTGTGTGATTCAGAACTAGTAATGCATTTTAATATTTATAAACAACACTTCTGCATAAGTTATAAGCTTAAATTTTTCACACATCATTACATTATTTATACCTTATTATAGATTACATTTCTGTTCAAAATATTCTTACAAAATATTGAACAATTTGATACTTACATCTTTTTTTCTGAGTTATTTATTTTTCATATAAAGATAAAATAAGGCTATGCAAACGATATAGGTATTTCTAACCACAAATCTGTTAATTTTGTAACTACCTGAATTCTCTGAAGAAAATCATTCAAAGTTACGGGACCATCTGGAATTTCACAGAATACTGCCTGACTGACCTCCTTGAATGGTTCATTAATGCAATGTTGAATCAGATTATTTGCTCTGTTAATTTGAAAAAGACAATGTATAACATTAAGCAACATTTTAAAATATTCACCATTAAATTTTTATGACACTCAATGGTCTGAGTTGCTAGTTTTCTATTCATATTTCAAACAGAAATATATATGTACACATCTACAGTGTGTGTGCGTGTATATATACATAAGCAGTTTCACAGATCTTAATTGTGTTGAGTTAGAGGTTAGAGTATCACTAAAACCCAAGAACTTACTGTTAATAAAAACAAGCACATGCACTGCACTAACAAAAAGATACAGACATCCTTCAAACATATGACATGGTCAACCAAGCATAACTTACAAGAGAACTCAAAAAGTATATAAGTAGATACATTTTAGCAAAAATGACTGGTTGTGAAAAAGATAAGACAGATGCTGAAAACATTTTAAATTAAATGACCGTATGGAAGAAGAGATCACATGCTTCAAAAACTATGGAAAGCAATCCTTTAGAAATACAGTAGTCGAAACACAACACAAATGTTCAGGTTGACTGCCAGAACTGCTGTTAGAGCATGACAAATATCCATGTGTTAGGACTGTATGAAATGTTAGAAATCATCTTTGCAGAAAACTCACAATAAGTTCAATGTATTCAATCTGGTCATTCAAAAATACCAGAAATAATTTTTGTTGCAATTTCACAATGACTTCTGTGGGTTCAATATGGCAATCTGAGAGTGTGCATCATTTGTGAGGTTTGTGTAGCATACTCTTCATGAATGTAAGTACTTTGGAAAAGATGGAATATTTGCAACACAAGACACTTCTAAGAATACCCAGCAACCTTTTCTCAATCAGGAATCTTTAAGACTGATAATGTATTTTGAGAAGAGATGATACCCACTTCACTGGTCCAATTATCAAGTGATGGCAAGTGAACTATTTGACAGCCACTGTCTTGTAGTAACAGCTATGAAGAATTAATGTATGGGACCTATCTCTCAAGTGTCTTCACAGCAGAGTGATCTTAGACATCAAGAGAAACTATATTAACACGTAGGGACCAAGGCATAGATTCTTTGTCTGCAGGCCAATGTTGTGTTCCAGAATAGTAATGCACAATGCATAAAAGCAAGTGAGATTCAAGCCTGATTTTAAAGTAACAAGATCATTGCAATGTCTTAAAATTACCTACCAAGATCTTAACCATATAAAATATTTTTGGGGCTATGTGTTATGGTTATTTTGAAAGGCTGGACCAAAAATACCCTGCCATCATCAAATGGTAACAAAATTTCAAAACTACAAAGACAAATTCTAACAGACACCTATTGGTATCTATCTGAGAAAATGCTTTGCAAAATAACAGTAGGGTTAATTTAAAAAGTTAGACTGCAAATCTCTTTTATCATCAGATAAGCAAGCTTTTGAGCTTAACAAAAGAGAAATATATTGCAGATATCTGTTAAAATCAAGATGAAAGCAGAAGAGTAGTATTTATTCAAGCCAAAGGAAGTGCTGCCCCACAGTAATCATAAGAAAAGAGGAATGCTGAGGATCCTGTCACTCCTCAGGAAGAATAAAATTGTTGCTTTCTTTTTATGTGAATAAAAATCACGAAAATAGCAAAAAGGATCTGGTATATTAATATCCAGGAGAACTGGGCATTGTTGAAAGCCTCACAACAATGAGTATGCTAATTATTGAGGATGTTCCAGTTACATAATATTTATGGAAGAGCTACTGCTAGTTCAACAACAACACACCATGTGACTTATGACCAGACGTGAAAGGACTCTTTCAATACCCATTACTCAGACAAACTGGATTTGTAGGAAGAACCAAATCCATATACATGTCCACACAAAGATATATACATATTCCACAACAGCCATCTTACTAGTTGAAATGGAAATCTGTGTTCTGAAACAACCATGGCTAAGAACTAACAATGACAAGGAATCACGACAGGTTACACCAACTTATATTTTATAGACAAAAAGTAGCACAATGGGTTTGCAATGTCCAATCCAAATACAGCAAAGAATAAGCAGAATTTTCAATTCCTACTCCCAGTGCTAGGTATTCCACTACACTAATCCCTGAAAGGCAGTAAAGAAGTGCAAGAAGGCTACTGCTGCCTCAAGTAGGGATCCACTTCTTTCTATGGAAAAAAATAAAATTCAAAAAGCATCCATTTTATTAAATTTAGTGAAGTCAATGAAAATAACAATGCCACCACAAAAGGAGAAAGGTAAAATTTCTCTACAGGAGTCACCTAAATATGACACCTGGTGAATGTTTTCAGAAATCTCCACATCCCAACCTGAAAGAGATCTTCCAGAAAAAGTTGAGCTACTGCAGCAAGAGATATGACATAGTAATAGACTTGGTGAGAAAAAATCTGAAATTGCTGCAGATGTGAATAAATGTACATATACATAATGAACAACTTCATGATAAGTGAGAATAGGAGCTGCCATTTTGACAACACTAACTCCAATACAAAATGAATAACCATTTGCAAATTCTCTGAAACACTTAGAACACAAATGTAAAATCACATAGTATCATACCACATGAACAAGACACAGGATTGAAACAGTCCTCCACAGTTCGTAGACATGATAAAATAATGAGGAAGAATCCAGTTTGGCCCTCCAGCATAAGCCAGTTTTTCAGAAGAAAGAATCAAGTAGGGAAGAAGGGTGGGAAATGTATCAGAAATACCTTCTCATTGTAGGAAAATGTTAACATCTGATATGATATCTTACCTCTTCTCACAGAATAGCTAGGATCTCACACTGACCTGGTAGAGGGACCAATGTAACATTACCTAGATGAGCCCTCCTTTAGAAAGTGCCCAAAGGAAGCCCATGGGGTATATGAATAAAGAGTATCTAAGGCCCACCCATGGGAGACCACACCACTCAGAGCTAGGTATACTCTTCACCCATGAAAATGGTGTGTCACAATAAGTATGGAAACATAGGAGGAAACCCATAAATTAAATGAAGGGACCCCTGTTGTAGAAAGGCTAGGGTAAGACAGACCATAAAGGGGAGTTTAACCTCAACCAATACTAACAGAACTGTGATAAAAATATCTGGCCCATGGTAGTAAAAGGGTCCTCTACAGTTAATCAGGGAAATGGAAGGGAAAAAGATCTTCTATTCCAAGGACCTACATCCTCATGTGCATATGTCCAACACAACCAACACTAGTACACCCCAGGAACTGACATCCAAAACACAGTAGGAAGGCAGACAGCAAAGTGGCAGTTCAACTCCAGTCCAGAACCAGGCAGCATTGGGAAGGAATTGTCCAGTCTGCAGTAGAAGGATGGTACATGGGCCACTCACATATGATGACTTATGTGGTTAGTCCAGCTCCAACCAACACCAACATCCCCTGGGAATCAACATCTGGGCAATGGTAAGAAGGAGGGTGCCCAGTTGTAGGGGTGAGCTGCATTTTGGCAGAAATCATCCAGTCCATAACCAGGTGGCTTCTGGAATAGTACATCAGGTCCACAGTAGGAGGAGTGTCTATACACCATCTACATTGGCAGAACACCACCACCCTGCTCTTAACCAAGTGGAATTGAGCACACTGAAGAGGATTTGGTTTGAATTTTGCTCAAAGCTACACGAGGGCTATCTGTCCATAGTTTAGCAGTGAAAGACTAGAGGTAAGATAACAAGTCATCATCACCCACTTCCATCTCTTGGGCTACTCTTTTATCAATGAATAGTGGGATTGACCATCACAGTACAACACCCCCCCAGCTGAAAGGGTGAGCATGTTTGGTGGGATGGGGATTCGAATCCATGACCCTCAGATTCCGAGTGAAGTACCTTAACCACCTAGCTATGCCGGGCCCACACAGAAGGAAGCCTCAATGGTCCATCACCTCATTGGGAAGTGGTAAGGACTCCCATACTCCATAGGATAAAGGGAGGAAAATAATGCATTGGAGAGTCTGGAGGAATGCAGCACTGGAGACAGTACAATGGGTGATTACAAAACCCTATTTTGAAAAGCAGACTATTCCTGATTCAGCCAAACAAAGGAACAGCAGGGAAGGACAGCAATCCCCTTCTGATTTACTCATGTTAATCCATGTGTGTACAGTTCGGAATAAACATATTTAGGACAAAGACACTGTGTGGTAAAACCTACAAGCAGTCTTGTGGAACACCCCATTATTTACCTGAATGGTCGTATAGTGTGGGTTTAAGAATAAGTATACCTGGTCAGGCAACAATCGTCACTGAGCAGGATCCATATATGTGAGAAATGTAACTGTAAAGAAAAAAAAGAGCATCTACCCATTGATAGAAAAACTGTGAAGATTAGGTTGGGAGGTAGATCGTAACCTGCAGAGCAGCCAGGGACATGGTAAGAGATTTGGAATAGGCAAACATCATCAGGAGACAGGGAAAATAACCCATGCAAATTCAACCTCTAAGGGTAACAGGAGAAGCATCACAGGAAAGGAAATGGTACCATTGAACAAATGGGAATTGGAACCATGGAAGAGAGCAATGGGAGACACGTAACAGCAGAGAGCTCAGAGAGGACCTAAGTGGCAATCTGGATCAGAATGATAATAAAGGTGACAAAAGGGAGGGAAAAAGGAGTGAAGGCAAAAATGCCCTCATGTGTGGCTAATGTTGTATACAAAAAAAGACTGACAAAATGTAACATACCTGATATATTAACTCCAGGAAAGGAAGAAGAGGCCTAAGTGTAGCAATGTAGCACAGGAAGTGATGGGAAACAGGCTTTCAAAATCCTCATGTTAAGGTACCTCTGAACAAGGTATGAAAGGATAATCTGCAGGCAAATCAAGAGCCCACATGAAGGTAGCCAACTCCTAGTGAACCAAGGCAATAACATCTCCTGCCCACAATTGGGGACCCGAAGCCATGGTAGTAGTATTTTTTTTTAGTAAGGTTAACTGTAGTAGAAACAGCAGTGGTAGCAGTAGTATCATAAAAATCCAAATGCATTTCAACTAAGAATGGAAGGAGAAAAGTCCAAACAGAGAGCTCCAAAGCATCACATATTAACACCACAAGTACCAATCAAGGAGTGATTTTCGGCTCAGCTGCATAAAGGGATCAACTGTTCTGGAAGTTGTGTCATGCTCCTATTGGTGGAGGGTTGTCACATGCTATCATGCAGTTGCCTCACATGAAAACATGAGGATAGGTGAAAGTATTAAGACTAGTGGTAAGCGAAAACTTGCACATATGGAGGGGGGTACAAGTTGGAGAAAAAGTTATTCTGTATATGGAGGTAAGATATTATATTGGAAATAGTACCATTTTTACAAAGAGAACTCAAAAAATCCTTAATCCCCCACCCTTTAATGAACAGCAGTGCTTCTTCATGTGCTCACACTTAGGTTTATGGCACAGAATTTGGTAATCATAATTAATAAAACACGTACATGTACAGTAACTGAACTAACCAAATCAGTGTATCTGCTACCTTGAAAAACTTAGTACCCCATTAGTTATCCATCTTAGTACAACTGACACTACACACACACTTTAACCTTTTCACATCGGGTACTTCTTTAAACACTTTTCTGTTCAAATCACTGTGTTATATTCAAAATTTAACTAAACACCTTTACTAACAATATTTGTTATGATTCAAAGTTTTACGTCATCTAAGTTTCAAGTCCTTTAGTTCAAAAGAAACCTTTAAAAAACTACTTAAAACTTCAGATGTATTGTCATGTGACCCACAAGCTATGAAAATTCTCTATTTTGGCACTATGTATCTTAAATAATATAATGCCATTGTGTAGATGTATGTCTAGACAATAAGACATTTACTTAACCTATTGCATGTACATTTCATAGATTGCTGTATGAATGCAATTGAAACAAGTAATAAATTTTGTCAACTTCTGATTGGTGCACACCTACCTTCAATAGATTTGTTTTGTTTGAGCTTTATAGCCTACATATAGAGGTCACATATGCTTGTATAGTCATTAAAAAGAGCTAATTTTATGCTATAATCCACAATGGTTATTTTGAAATTGGCAGGTAGTTGTCATCATGGAGTACATATTGTTGGCTGCTTGATTGGCTATAGCACTTATGGTTGTTTCTTACCTAAATATGTTACAGTTAGAGATACAGTTTAAATTGTATTTAGGTCTTACTATTATATTTTAATTATTTTAGTTATTTATGTTTTAAAATGCATAATTGAAAGGTTTAAACATTTTTTAAATACAAATCATAATTTGCACCAGTTCTCAAGTCTCATGATAAAACATGGTGCATGACCATTTTGCTGAAGGGTTGCACATTTCTGCTAAAGATACTGTAATATGCTCCAAGGGCACCATTGGCTTGTGTCGAGATGAATAACAAATGGTAAAAGACAAGAAAGGAAAATAAAACATTAAAAATTAACTATATGCAAAAAGGAAAAGACCTGAAATTACGAATGAAACTAAAATAAGGTCTTCAAGGATATTCTACAAAAATTTAAAGCTATGTACTTTTTTCTATTTACTAATTTTAATCATTTTATTTTATGCTAATGATAATAGCTTGAGTTAGTGATATAGTAGAGAAAATTAAAAATAAAATATAAACATTTACCTTAAAAAAACTTTCGATATTCACTTAAGATATTCTAGAGGTTATGGAAATGAAATATGAAACTATAAGATGAAGACAAGTATTTTTATACTTAAAATGAAAATCACTTTACACTCCATTTATTAAGAGTTTGAGGACAAGTATCTACAATACATAACATATTTTATAAAAACACTAAATTAAAAAGTCATTTTTTGTGTACAAGATACTTATGATCTTTAACAAAATCTTACCAGTCTTATCAGCAGACGTGTTATGAAATCTCAGAGCTACACTATGTATTGTTTTACAAGTGAAATTCTCGATACAGCATTCCGTAAGTTGCATGAGCCGATTGCAAAAGTGTTAATCCATCAATGTTGCTGCTATTGCTTGCAATTGAAGATTAATTTCAATAAGGTTTTGAGTAATTCCCACAAGACAGGAACAGTTCTTTTAACAATTATTAACATGTTATAAATAGACTTAAAATAATACTTCTTGATGTCCACAAATGCAGAAAAAAGGCTGCTAGGATGTGCTTCTTGGTGTCCTCCCCCTCCTTCAATTTACGAAGTCCTAGAATTGCTTCTAACCACCAAACTCAATATTCACAAAAGGTTTATGCATCACTTAAAAAAAGACTGCTTCAGTAGTAATATTACATTATTTTCATTGTACTTTTTAAAATATAACACAATTACTACAGATAGCTTAGGTTTTTTCATAATGTAAAGAGGAGTTAATGTCAGTATAATATCTGTTTTAATATTTTACATCTTATAGTCATTGGACTAGGAATTTTTCAACGATAGACTAATAGGATTAAGTAAGAGAGGAGGACAGAAAATGACACAGTATCAAATTAAAATGTCACTAAAAACATAAAGCAAACAATAACTAATATCATTTTCAAATACACATAGTAATGTTAAATGTATAAAATATTATTTCACTAAATATTTCTTTCACCTGTCATTCAGCAAGTTTAAGTCCTGTAGAACAGCTCTAGTTTGTTGAAGAAAAGATTGAATATTCAAACTGCTCCAAGAAATGGTTGTAAAAGCAGGTAAAAAAGCTTTATCAAGTCTTTGAAAGTGAAGTTTCATCAATGGTTCAAGTTCAAGCCGAATTTTATTCCGCAAAGATGCATCTTCTTCTACTAGAGACTTAAAACAATAAAGGAATTATTTTATTTATGCATGTTTTACACTTCAGTGGAATACTTTACTTGTTTGAATTTACCTTACATTTATCTTAAATCAAATTTTACTTGTAATATTGATCTACACATGCAGCTTTAACAGACTAATAGAATGCACAGATGTTTATTAATAATACAACTACTCATAGTTTCAAGGTATCGTCTTGTTTAGCTCGAAGTTCTGCATGAATAATACAAACTCTAGTTACACTTTATGAAATATATTCAAACTGTTGTGTTAACAAAAAAATTCAAACACATTTTTGATAAATTTTCTTTTAATATGATATAAAATACAATTATATGAGTTTTATAGATAATCTGACAGGGTTTCTAGGTTCATCTTAGATCTTCAACATATGACTATTTCAATCCTCTAATTTACAAATAAACTCAAGTATGACTGAATATAAACATATAAAAATGAAATTATGTCAAACAGGAAAAAAAACTGATGTAATGCTATATCTTAACATCAATTTATAGTAGTGTTATGCCCCCGGTCGTTAGTTAATTTTCCGTAAAAATTCTTTCCGAAGAAACTTTACCGATACAAGTCCTTTCTTAAATAAAACTGGTTTATTCTTTCTGAATACAACTTTGCAATACACTTAATTTCCACAGTCGCGCTACAACAAATGCTATAATTCACAACGAATGTCTACACGTGCTCGACTCAACAATACTCTATCTCTCTGTCCGCCATTCAATTACACATTGTTGCCGTCACGTCTTG